ATAAAATAAACGTTGAAAAAAAAAAATTAAAAAAAAAAAAAATGATAATTAAATGTCCATGAACACTAGAGTGAATAAATTGTATTTTATTCATACAATGGAATTCTATATAGCAATGATAATTAACCCACTACAACCTTACATAAAAATATGGATGTCTCTCGCAAATGTAATGTTACAGAAAGAAACAAGACACCAGAAACCAGAGAAAAAGGTACATTCTATATGAATTAATTTCTGTGAAGCACAAAATCAGACAAAACTAATCTATGCTGTTAGAAGTCAGGATAATGTTTACCCATTAGGAAGGGAAAAGTGACTAAGAAAAGAAGAGGATAAAAGCTTCTAAGTAATGTTATGTATCTTGATCTACACATACTGGTTACATGCGTGTATTCAGTTTGTGAAAATATATTGAGCTATAAACTTGGAAAATATATTGAGCTATAAATTTAGCATTTGTGCACTTTTCTGCATATATGTTATACTTCAAAGAAGTGAAAAATGAAACAAAACAAGTGAGAATATGTGAAGGAAATATTAACTTCTCAGATGAAATGTTCTCTGCTATGCACAAACCCTTTTTATTGGACCAATCCTGAGTCAGAGTGAGAACAAAAACCTCTAGGCTTTCATTCTAGGTTTTCATAGTACATCAGCCAAGATGTTAGACTTGGGGGGGGGGGGGGGGGGGGGGGATGAAACATTCAGTCATACCATACACAGCTACAGTCAAACTCAGAAACGCAGACAATAATATAAATACACATAAATAAGCTTATGCAATCTTATCTAAAAGCAGAAATGCACGCACTTGCATCCACACATAAAACCACACTGTCACACAGAGCCTTTGTACTTTAATAATAATAATAATAATAAATTGATATTTATTGAGTGTGCATAAGCCAGACACTATTCCATGTGTTTTATGTAGATTAAATCTTTTTTAAATTGTTTTAAGTTTATTTTTTTAAACTTTTTTTTTAACGTTTATTTATTTTTGAGACAGAGAGAGACAGAGCATGAAAGGGGGAGGGCCAGAGAGAGGGAGACACAGAATCTGAAACAGGCTCCAGGCTCTGAGCTGTCAGCACAGAGCCCGACATGGGGCTCGAACTCACGGACCGCGAGATCATGACCTGAGCCGAAGTCGGCCGCTTAACTGACTGAGCCACCCAGGGGCCCCAAAGTTTATTTATTTTTGACAGAGACAGAGTGTGAGCATGAGCTGGGGAGGGGCAGAGAGAGAGGAAGACACAGAATCCGAAGCAGGCTCCAGGCTCCAAGCCATCAGCACAGAGCCCAAAGCAGGGATCGAACTCACAAACCACTAGATCATGACCTGGGACGAAGTCGGATGCTTAACTGACTGAGCCACCTAGACAGCCCATGTAGATTAAATCTTTTAATCCTCACAACCGCACTATGAAACATATGCCATTATTATCCCTACATTATGGAGGAAAAAACTACAGAATAGAAGTGTAAAGTAATTTGAACAAGGTCACCTCATTAACAATCAGTTGAGTTGGGTTGTTAGCCCAGAAATTATGATTCCATTGTCTATATTCTCAATCACCTTACTATACCACTTTCCACAAAATATACTTGCACACTCACATACATATATACACAGAGAACATGAATATGCCATATCCATAGCCATATCTGGGAAAACCCTGTACATTCTGAAACATGCAATCACATGTAGTTATAATCACTTCTAGAAACAGACATGCATACTCATATTGGAAGGGAGACACTGAATTGATATCATTTATGATTATCATAATAATTATGGAAACTGCCATTTATTGAGAAGTTACTATATACTAAACACCATGTTCAGTGGTTTATATAAATTATTTCACTAAATCCTAGTCCTACACTCATGAGATAGGGACTGTTAATCAAAAAGAGAAAATAAAAAATATGCACAGACTCACATATGGATAGGAAATTCCCAGATATTTATTCTGGCTAGGCCTAGATATTTACCTTGATTAATAAACAGAACAATAGACTTGCCTACAAAATCTCAGGCCCTTCCCCACACAGCAGTGGCCAAAGTGTTTATCCCCAGTCTCCATATGTGATTTGGCAGAACGACCTTGATATAGAGGAGGACCTGTTCCTGGATTTTTCTTTCCAAAACCTAGGCCTCCCACTGACCAGTTGGGTAGCCTTTGGTAATATTTAACCATGCTAAACTTTTTTTTCCTTACCTATGAAATACATATAATAATATCAACCTTGGAGAAGTAAATTTGAAAACTTACACAAAAGGGCCTCAGTACAATTAGAGTTTGGAACATAACAGAAAGTAACTGCTTGTTTTCTTCTCCTTCTCCCCCCTGGCTATAGTTTTCGTTTGTTTGTTTGTTTGTTTGTTTGTTTGTTTTATTAATCTGCACTGTCCCCACACACCATATGTTCTATATTTCTACTCTAAGGCGAATCTAAATCCTAACTTCCCCAGAAGGCCCTTTGTAGGCTCTCTATACCAGTGTCCTCTGAAAGACTACTTACTCTCTATTACACCCAATTACATTAAGTCAGACTTTGTATTTTTGTTACCCTTCGGTGAGCTGCCTCATGAACTGTTTTTATTTCCCAAATTTGACTACAAACTCTCTGGAGGTGGACATCATGTCTTAGAAGTCTTTGTGTATCTTTTGCCAAAAATGGTGATGGGGGCTCTGCAGGTATACCATAAACAGCTACTACTAGAGTGTCATAAAGTGACACAAACATACATTTTTCCACTAGTTGACACTAGTTCAAGTTTGCCACTGATTTAAAGAGTGACTTTACACAAGTTACATCACCTTAGTGAGCCTGAGTTTCCCTATCTATAAAATAATAGAGCTGCATTATATAGTTACTACCTTTGTGGGGTCAGAATATTTGAGAATATAATGAAATGCAAATTGCAGAA